AAGTTATATTACAATCAAGTTCATAGTTGTTTTTGTATCCAATCTATATACGACGTGATTCTTGAAAAGACTGAAGGCGCACTGCTCTCGCCGCAGTCCAGCGGTCCAAATGATGATACCCCAATCTGGAAGAGTTATCATTAGGTCATTCCATGACGCATTTTTTTTTTCATCGAAAGAAAGCAATAGGTGCACCACAGGCCCTCGTCAAGTTCGCATCTCAAAACCATTTTCCACGCTAGCGTGGAAAAAACAGTTTTGGACGCAGATTTCCAATGAGAAAGAAAGCCTTTCCAAGCCAATGAAGTACTATCTTGGGTGTGGGTGTTTGTGGTAGCGTTGATATTTCCGATTTCCATAGCACAATGCTTTAGTTGCTTATTTTGGGGTCAGAGCAATGTGTGTGATGTTGTCTAATATTTATATTTTATTTACTTATTAATTATTTCGTATGTTCTGAAACTCACCAGATAATACTGACTTTTTGTCTTATAAGCCAAAGGTCCCCCTGAATCTCCTCTACACGCAGCTCCGTCTGGTGCTCCGGCGCATATATAGGTTGGTTTTAAAACATCGCCATAGTAATCTTTACATTTCTCGTTACCTATTACTTTGATTTTCTTGTAACCCAATCTCACATGGCTGTCGACAATACTATCTAAACAAAACAGAAAAGAAATATTGGTAAAATAATTTTTTTTTTTCTACACAAATATCATAAACTCTCTATAATGAGTTCAAAAACCGCAAATTACGACCAGCATAAAGGTGAACTGTTTTGTTAGAACAAATTTCTTATCTGTGAAAATGTTATTATTGCTTCGTATTACCATCGAATTCGATGTTATTATTACATTAAAATTTCGAACATCTCTGAAAAACAAAACAATTTGATTGGACCTCAATTCTAATATCAGTCGAGATGAAGTTTTATTCGAAATGAAATGTCAATAGCAAACAATTTTGACAATTTCACACGTTACTTGATATCGAACGATATGATAATTGGGGCCGATTCTAGTTTGTCTATGAATTAAAAATAAAAACTACAGTTGTGTGTGTGACATGCGTGAGAAAAGTTTTTATTTCCCGCCATTTCGCCAGTCGTAACATGCTGTTACTGAACACATCACAGAGAGCTTATAATATGTGTGTAGATAAAGCAGTGTATGTAACTGTACTTAATTAGGCAGGAAAACACTCGTGAGATGTTTATAAGAAACTCGCCTGTAACAGTCACATAGACTACTATATTTGAATCGGGTGCAAACAAAACGTTTATTTCCTGTTATTCTATGTAGCCAGTAAACCAAGGGCAAAACAAACTGAGTATGGACCCATGCATTCCAGTTGTTATCAAATTCACGTCTCCACACTTCCGTCAGTCATCTCGGCTCAGGGCTCATTGAAAACCAGCGCCACAGTCAATCATGGCTGTAGCTTATGCCGAATGCAGTCCTTTGCGTACGCCACAACTGCACAAATGACAGCATAAAATTTGTAGTCGTTATAACATTGACTTACAATTATATGGACGTCGGGTCCGCGCTAAAAAGTGTCCGAACTTATAGGGCGTTAAAATCGTATAGAGAGCGTCATTCACGCTTTAGTCTTCGTTTGTTCGACTGACAGCGAAGCAAGCAAAATTAGACAGTACTGCGATGACATTACAATTTAAATTCAACGTTTTAGCTTTTTCATATTCCTTTACATGTCACTACGTTTAAATAGGTTGACTTGGGACATTTTTTTCGTGGTTTTTGTATTAGACCCGTCGTCCATTTATTTGTAAGTCAATGCGTTATAACGACTTTTTTGCTTTTTGTCAGTTTGTATTGTTTTTTGTTTTGTTTATTAATTCTTTTTAATTTGTTTTGTTTGTCTGTGTTATAATTTCTTTTGTATCTCTGTGTTGTGGCGTTGCAATAAATGTATATTATATTCTATGCTATTCTATTCCAAATTACAGATTTATCACAATGATTTCATTAATAATGACAAGATATGCCATGTAATTATGTTTTAAGACAAATATTTCTTGTATAATAATAATAAAATGGTAAGAAAATCTGTTAACAAATTAAGTTATCGCGTAACATACGCATAAAAAATATAATTTTTTCATTATTACTGATGATATGATATGTAAAATACGTACTAGAACTCATTCTTCCGAATCCGGCAATGTACGCCCGATATTCTTCGAAAGTTTTCTCTAACATATTCCGTGTTGGCAATCTGACTACTTGTACGGTCTCTGAAATGTGGAGAAAAATAAAATTATTAGCAGAGTAAGAAAACAGCTTCAATGTTCAATGTGCTATGAGGCATCACAGCACTGTTTTACAGCCCATTCCTGTGCTCCAAGTCTCCAATTTTGTTGAAACCACTGACCATTGTAATTCCATTGAAATTGAGTGTTTCAGGAACTTAATGGGCCTAATATATGGAATAAAAGACCAAAGCTGTATGCTAACTACTTTACTGAATGAAAGGTTAAAGACGAATGGAGCGATGGCACACGTCATAAATTACATATAAAAAGTGCTTACTAATAAACTTACAACAAACATTTTAAACTACTTAAAACATATTAAATAGGCGCTGTTGCCTTTCTTTTTAGCTCCGCTGAGGGCAAGTTCTGGTGATCAGGTAGATGGAGTGTGGATCTCATGGGTGGAGTTGCAAGATTGCAAATATTGAAGATCGACTGAATTTGTCCTAAGTTTTCGATCTTTGTATTAATAATTATAACAAACTAGTGGAGTAATTTCGCAAAAATAAGCGAATATTGTAACGGAACGTTACAACGTTGTTCAAATCATTTTAGGTTATAAATAGTTTTTTTTTCAAATTTAACATTATTAAAAATTAACAAAGGAGTCCATAACAGTCACATTGTCACCAAGAAGTCAGAACCATGGAAATTGAAAAAAGGCGATAAACTTTTGGTTGTTTTTTTTTTTAATGAAGTTACAATTACTGAATAGTCAAATCGTGGTATTATCGATCCCATCCCCATAAACGAAATGGGGAATACAAGAATTAACACTCACTAGTAATTTTGACCTTGTTTTTAAGCCTTATTACTGCTACGTCATTTAATATTTTCTGGGCGTCAAAATTGGGATGGACCTGGAATATAAGAAACATGCACTGTTGAATTCGAGGCATCTCTGCTGGAGTTAAATAAATCTCAGCGTGAGCTGTACAAGGTGGATTTAGATTAAATAATCGTAACACACCCCCCTTCATAATTCATCATTCTACATAAGTTTTGATTATAGTGACCCTCCCTACCGACCCTTAGGGTATACCCGAAGAGTTCTATAGCCTGCGCAAGCACAGGGACCTTAGACAGGTCCTGACCCCAGATCAGCCTGTTTGCATAGACTTTATCCGGTTGTCAAAAGGGTGCACGTACAACACCCTCTCTACTTTCCAGATAGGCACCGGAGCTGTAGGCACACTCACTTCCTGATGCGCATTGCGCAACTAACGGTCGCCACCGCTAAGCCGTTAACTCTAAAGTCTACTACCAAATCTCCATTTTGGTGGCGGAGCTGTAGGCACACTCACGCCGAACTGGAAACCTACTCGGCTGGAGGGACAGGAGGATGTCTAGCTCATCTAAAGGGTCTTCCAATAAGAGGTTCCATGTTGATATGTAAAAAAACGAGTATTTTTAATCGAAATCATCGGATATTTATTTAATTGTATAAAGCCTCCTCCTTACAATACGCCATTAATAATGGAAAATAATATCAGTCGAATGGCCGCCACGGCTGCGCTTGCAGGGCTTCTTTTCATGAAATTTTCCATCACCAATTTGCACATTTGCGGCTGTATGACCTCGATAACTTCACGAATCCTATCTTTGACGTTATGGATCGATTGTGGGCTATTGGCATAGACCTTATCTTTCACGTAGTCCCAAAGAAAAAAGTCCAAAGGAGTTAAATCACCGAGATCTCTCGGTGGCTAATTGTGATCGCGTTCAAGAAATCACAGGGTCAAGAAACTTTTCACGCAAAAAAGCGATGGTATACCAAATAACCCTGTAGTACTTATTTTAGAAAAGAACCGAGCTCAACATAATACGGTTCTAACGTAGATCTACAAACATTGCAGTACTAAACGAAGGCTATTGTAGAAATGAAAATTACTCACGACAACATCACTTGTGGACACAGATTGGCCACTTTTTTCCTTTATGAATATGCTCAAAGAGCCCAGAACCACAAGCATACTTATGGCCTTGTATGAGCTATCCTTCCAGCAATGTGCAGCCGTCACTAAGCGAGTTAAGGTTACCAGTGAAGCTCCGCACACCGATGCTTTGCCATTAATAAGTGTGATTCGCAGACCTGCCTGGAAAATTAAACCTCTCTAGAGAAATTCTTATCGGGAAGTTGGATACAACTATCCTCTTAACATGGAACAATAACGCAAGAGGACTGTTAATCGCGGTACAAGTCGAAAAGTGAATATACTAATTATCAAATAAATTACTGACTAAATTAGCGATGAGGGTGTTCCTCTCAACGTCTCTCTAAACCGTAGGCCACACCGCGAACGAAGCTAGTTAACTTACTCACGTAGTTGCATGCAAAGCTAAGAAAATACGTAGTAAGTAATGGCGTATACGTGCGGGGGTGAAGGGCGGCAGAAGGGCGACATATTATTTTACATAGCTAGCGAGATCGTTGGGTTAGTTTAGTTAGCTCGGTTAGCTTAATTCGCGGTGTGAACGAATGAAAACATCGAGTATATAACCAGAAATAGAGACGAAATGGCATTTAATTTGGCTGAAACTTATTCGGCCAAATAATACTGTGACAACTGTGCTCCGATTGGCCAGCTCGAACTTGAAACAATAACGGGTGTCGTCAATTGTTTCACTTCGAAAAGACCAGTTTAACTTGAAGTTTGCTTTAATGGACGAATATCGCAAAATTACAAATTTAACATTTAATTTAGTTTAATTTAGTTCTTAGGTTTTCGCGATTGTTACACATAGGAAATGAAACTATTTTTCCGGATTTAAATCGCGTATATTTGTTTTTTCAAACAAACCGACGTTTCGGGCCCTTTACAGGTCCCATGGTCACAGTCAACCGTGACTTTCAAGATGATATACTGTGCTGGGCAGAATCAGAAGAGGAGCTGCAGGAAATTTTATGCAAAGTACTTGAAAAAGCTAAAGAAAATCAAATAAAGTTCAATCCTTAGAAATGTTTGTTTTTTGTTAAAGAAGTTACATTCTTGGGTCATATTATTAGTGAAAAGGGAGTAAGTATTGACCAAGAAAAAGTAAAAGCAATAACAGAATTAGAACCACTAAAAGATAAAAAAAGCATTGCAGCGAATATTCGGAATGTTTAATTATTTGTCTAAATTCATTCCAGGATATGCAGACATCAAAGCTCCATTAAGAAATCTCTTGAAGACAGATGTTGATTGTAGATGGGAAAATAATCATAACACAAGGTTTGAAGAACTAAAGAAACTTATAACGAATACTCCGGTATTAACATTTTATGATCAAAATAAAAAATTAACACTCAGTGTGGATGATAGCTCAGTTGGATTGGGCGCGGTAATGGTTAAAGATGAATGTCCTATTGCCTATGCTTCTAGAGCGTTAACTGATGCACAGATAAGATATTCTCAAATAGAGAAGGAGCTGTTAGCCATATGCTTTGGAGTAGAAAAATTTAAGCAATATTTAATTGGGAATGAAACAGTCAGAGTGGAAACAGATCATAAACCAATATTAGGAATCATTAACAAACCACTACCTAAAGTGCCAGTTAGATTACAAAAAATGATTATGAGACTGCAACCATTTAGGCTGAATGTTGTATATACACCTGGAAAATACTTATATATTGCTGACACTCTATCAAGGGAGTTTACTCTCATTGGTTGTGATCAAGAAACAGCTCTAGATGATGATATTGAACTCCTAGTTCTGTGCTTATTACTACAGAATCTACCGGTTACTGCCGAATGCTGGAATAAAATTACTTTAGCTGCCGAAGAGGATGCAATCATAAACAAGCTTAAAAATAATTGCCTCAATGGGTGGCCAAAATATTACAAAGACATTGATGAAGAATTAAAACCATACTACCAATTTAGAGATGAGATAGTATTGATTAAAGACTTGTTATTTAAGGGTGATCAAATTATCATACCGCAAAGCTTGAGAAGTAACATGCTGAAAAGTCTTCGTACTGGACGCCCTGGTATCTCCAGAATGGTAAATAGAGCTGAATTTACTATATACTGGCCGGGAACAGTGCAAGATATAAAGAAATTTGTCAGCAGTTGTGATATATGTCAGAAATATCAGGATAATAAACAGAAAATGATTTTAAAATACACGAAGGTTCCTATGCTGCCGTGGCAAGAAGTGGTTGTGATATATTTGAGTTCAATCAGAAGCACTATATAGTAGTTGTAGATGCATTATCAAATTATATTGAAATTGAAGGCTTGAAGGACTTGAGAAGTGCATCTGTGATCCAGAAATTAAAGGCAATATTTGTTAGAAATGGTGTACCAGTTATACTATTTTCAGATGGAGGACTTTCTTTCGATTCAGAATTATTCAAGTCATTTGAGAGAGAGTGCGGTTTTTGCATGTTAAGTCCAGTCCATACTTTCCAAAGTCTAACGGATAACTGAGAGCGCTGTGAAAACGGTTAAGAAGATGTTTAAAAGGGCTGAGAGCAGCAATGAAGAACCTTTACTCGCTCTGTTGAATGATAGAAGCATATCTAGAGGTAAGGTTCACTTTTTTGCTTCTATGTTCATGGGTAGACAGCTGCGTGCTAACATTCCCTGCTCCTTTGTGACGCTGGTACCTAAGCTCACGTATATGAAGGACAGAAAAATACTAATGAAACAAAAAGAAGATACAAAGAGTAATTATGACAAAACTGCAACTAAAAGACGAGGGATCAGAGTAAATCAGTCCATCCGATTTAAGAAAATGCCAAATGATAAAACTTGGATGAAGGGAAAAATAGTGCAGAAAAGTAGTAGACCTAGATCTTACATTGTGGAAAATATGGAAGGTGCTAGATACAACAGAAATGAGATTTTTATGCGGCCATGTGAATTGAGGACTAATGAAGAAATTATTGGAAATACAGAGCCACAGCCAATACATGGTACCGATGAAGACGACAATGAAACTTCAAAAGCTTCAGATACCATATTGCAGACAGAGCTTCCAAACTCAGAGATAAAATTATGTAGATTAGGTAGAGCACTAAAACGTCCACAAAAATATGCTGATCATGTTACGTAAATAATTTCTACTTACTAGATGAGAGTTTGTAATTGCAACTTATGCAAAGTTAAATGTTTCTTTTTATATGTAGATATATTTCTTTTAAAATTCATTATTGCCTATCTTGTAAGTCTGATTAATACATTCTCTTATTTGATTAGAGTTATGCATACAACTTAAAAGGGTAAGTAAGATGTTGTAAAAAATATTGTTGTTGTCTGTGGTTTGTCAGTCATATCAATACAGTTAGTTAGCCACGGCTAATGTCTTTTGCTTCATAATAAAAATACTACACAATAAATACAGAATATTTTTCTAATATACGGAGACGTACACACAGGTTGTTGGCGCTGCACTATTTCAGCTTTTTAACTTGTGATTTCAGCGCAAAAGAGAGTGGATTTTTAAAAGTGATATAAGGCCAATTTGCCTGATGCGTCGCCAGGGATGGATGGCCCTTATTTCGTCTCTATTGTTGGTTATATACTCGATGTATGATAAGATGCCCCGGCTACGAGAGCTAAGTTAGCTTAGCTTCGTTCGCGATGTGGCCTGCGCGTTATGGTCTTATTCCGACATATATATAAGTATACTAACAATGAATGGAAAGAATCCAAGTTTGGCATCATGTCCTCCAGATACTCTAGTGAGATAATTTTTAGATTTTCCTTTCAGTTTTTTTTCAGCCAGTCGTATTTCTTCTGCAAGTGGTATACCAATTAACTCATGGTAATATCTTACATTATCGAGCAGTGAAGAAATGTTTTTGTGCACGTGCGGTCTGGAGATCATTTCGAAGTGGAGCTTTCGAATTTCGTCGACGTAAAACGATTTCTGATCTTCTTCAGTCATATAGCTTGGTTCCAAATCCCTATCTCTATCACGGGTAACATTAAATTCAATTTTTTTACTATATTGTA